TTGGTACTTGTTTCCTCACTCCGTACCTACCTGTCTTTGACAGGAGTGTTATGGTGCTAGTTAGCAGCATGGTAGACATAAGAAATGTGTTGTGTGGACGTAAGGTACCTGTCGTGCATATGTGTGTCTGTGTGTGCTCTTCCACCGTGTAGGTGCTCCTGTGCCCTGGGCATAGTGGTGTCTCTGTGACAGCTTTCAGTAGCAAGCGTTTTAGCCATACGTTGGCAGCTCAGTGTTTTCCCAGGTCCTGAGCACAAAGGCAGGAAGGACATGCTTCCATAGCTTGGGGATGTCTTTCTCCCACTTCTGTTCTGTGCATGCACATCTTGAATGACAAAACCCATTTCCTGATGGCAAGCAGTAACTCCTAGTCTGAGAGAGCTTTCGGCAGTACTGACTGGCCTGAGCATTCTTTTTTTTTTTTTATTTCATTAAGAACAAAAGGTTTAATACTTTTCTCTTGAATCTCAGCTCAAGCTTCTGTTCATTTTGCCAGCTCTGTTCAGACATCTGCTGCTTCAATCCAGGCAGGCTGTTTTAGGGATGAAAAGGCTCCTAATTTTCTTTCTGTAGAAAACTGAAATCCCCTGAGTGTAGGCTTTTACGTCTTTAGATACCGACTCCAAGTTATCGCGGTGTCCCCAGAAGAACTAGGGCCAAGTGAGTGGATTTGCTTATTATTTATTGTATTATATTTTTTCATTAACAACCTCAACTTGCCTCAACTGGCAATTATTACCAGCTTTTCTAACTTCCTTCAGATATATTTCTGTCCATAGATTTTCTGGGCAGTCACTTAAAACAGCGTATGTACACAAGATGTTTCCTAGACTCAGACTTCCCTTGTATGTGCCAGACTTGCTTGTTTTTCAGGGATTTCTGTGTGGCTGAGACAACAGGGTACTTCTTACCCCTCTGATTAATTGTTTTTAGGGCCAGAAAGGATCTTTTTTTGTGATAATATTGCCTGCTGTCCTTTCAGATGCAGCATTAGAATTATCCTATAGTGGAAAGATCTAGGTTGGAAAGGATCTCTTGAAGTCTCTGCCTCTTAAGCCCCTACTCAAAGTAGGGACTGAATTAATTAGTCCTTTTGAACTACAATATACCTTTTAGTAAAAAAGAAACGAGCATTTCTTGGTTTCTGTATTGGTTAGGTTTTTTCCATTTTGCTGGCACTAAAGCTTGATAATACTGTAAATCATGTATTTCTCGGCTGCAACAGCAATTTTTATTCAGACAAGTTAGTTTGATCACATGCTTGATGCTGGCTCTAGCTTATTTTCAGCTGCTAAAGTGCACAAAAGAAAACTAAAAATATCTTTCCATATATCTAGGAATTTGTGTTCCAGTCAGAGTATCCTTACAAATGGTTGTAAGAGAAACACCGCTAGTGATCATTCTGTTTTCCTTTGCAGTCTATCAGTGAGCTAGCTTCCATCTTTTAAAAGACCATATAGGGGTAATACCTGTTTTTTTCTTGTGCTAAAGGTGTGAAATGCCTGGGGCATCAGGGCTTTCCTAGTCTGTGTAGAATGTCTAAGTGAAGGTAGGGAGCTTTCAGAGCGTATCACAGTAGCAAGACTGTGATAATATTGCCAAAGATGGTAGGAGGCGGCTTGACCTTTTGTCTGTTGAGCTGACCCTGGGAACGAGGAGTCAGGTAGGAACATAAAGGTATGGACTAGATTAGGAATCGAAGGCTAGATGCTTTTAAACTGCTTGCTTGTTCCCAGCATCACTGCATTTATGTTTTTAAGATGGCCAGTATTCCTCCAAGCGTGTTTTAGCTGACCATTGAGAACCCTGGAAATGGTGCTGTTTGCTTAACGTACAGGAAATTCAGAGCCCAAAGCCCCCCACGTCAGGGTGTTGGCGCATGTCCTGTCTCATCCCATCAGCTTCCCCAGGAACCTCTCACAGGTTTTCGTGTCTCCCCTGCAGCTGCTGTCCCTTGTTTTAGGTGCAGCAGCCCTAATCTGATGTTCCTTGCTGGTGGTGTGTGCTGGACCTGTAAGCGTTCTCAGAGAATCTCCCTCTGTATGGTTCATGTTTCTTTTGAAATACTGGGCCCCAAACTTGATCAAGGCTGCAGTGGTTTGAATAGAATGAAGAATTGATCTGTGTGTCACACAAGCAACGTTTTCTTTTTCTATTTTCCAGAATTGCATTTGCTTTCTTTCTCAGAACAGTGTGCCTTGCTTAAGCTCTGTTCAGTTTTTAATCTCTGATAACCCCATTTTTTTCCTGCCCAGGCAGTTATTTTTCATCCCATTTTTGAACAGTAGATTATTTCTATCCTAGTTCTCTATCCTGCTTCTTTCTACTCCGTACTTGTCTGTGCTGAATTACATCCTATTTCAAAGCATTTTTCAAGGTTATCAAGATCATTTTGAAATGTGGTATGTAAGGGCATAGGGTTTTGGAAGACAAATCTTCCCCTAGTTCTTAATGCTGTTGTAAACTCTTGTGCTCTGACCTCCTCAAATCCCTTCCTCCATTCCCCAGTGAAAACTGTGGAGGAATTTCTACTGTGGGTACCTGTGAGGGAATTATGAAAATGCATGGAAGGGTCAGAAGGTTTGAGTAGTTCCTATGCTGACACTGGCCTCTAGCTGAGATGAGGGATCACAATAATTTCAAAGCCTCTTTTCATTCTGCTGTGGAAAGGTTCGTGGGATGGGTGTGGATTGAAAGATTCATTCAAATAAGCAATCAGGACAGGCTGGACTCCGCGTGGGTCTTGGGGTAGGAAAGAGAGTCCTTTTATCCAGGGCAGGTATTTACAGTCAGGAAAAAAAATTCCAGTCTCTTACAATCCAAAAAGTCACAGGCAAAAATATCTTCTGGTCCCCTAACTGTGTACTTAAATGAGTGTTTTCTTAGAAATTCCTTTGGAGGGCAGCAAATGTTGGAGCTGCCTCAACAAAATAGTGAGGGTATTTCTAGCACCTGCATTGAATGTGATCTGCTTTCCCAGAGGTTTGTAGTTTGTGGTTCACAGAGTGCTTCTCGTGCCGACACAACGAGGAAGAACATAGTTCTTTGCCTCTGGTGTATTTGGGTTGTGTCTTGCTTTCAGTACATTGAAGTTTTCAGAACAGACTCCACAAAACACTTAGAATTATGCAGCTGGGTGAAAGAGGAGACTCTGCAGGACTCTCAAGCGTTTAATGGAAACTTAATCTTGCTTCTTTTCTAAGTAGTCTTAAACAGTGGAACCAGTCGCAACTCTGTGCTGCGTAAAATGTTACTGGCTTTATACAGTTTCTCCATTCATAAACCCTAATCAAGATTAAAATGTTTGGTTGCATTCCCATCGGTGGTAAGTCAGTGCAAGTAAATGCAGGAGAGGACTCCAGGTGTTAACAGAAGAACAGAGCACTGAAGTTATGCGTACATCTGATGTTTTGCGTTTTCTTGTAGGTCGCTCAGATTGTCAAGCATGAGATGGAAAATGCCATCAAACTCTCGGTAAAACTGAATGTTAAAGTGAAAATTGGACCTAGCTGGGGAGACCTGCAGGACCTGGAGCTCTGACATGAAATGCAGCTTTCTCGCATGTGGTGAGGTGGAAGGCACCGTGGACTGGGCAGGGCAAAGGCCAGCGTACTTGCAGGCAGCAACAGACCTGCACGCAGTGCGATCCTCCTGTATTGTGTGTTTTTACAGACGTCGTTGCAAACTGCCTTCTGAAATGTGTGGTGGAAGCTGGTAGGAATTCACCAAGCCAAACCCTTCAAAGGTCCGACAGCGCAGTGAAGCGTGTTTCCAGAATTGTGAAATTATTAATTGCCAAAAGCACAGTATTTAAATTATTTAAATGAATTCTGTTAAAATATGCTTGATCTTGTAATTTAAAGAAAAACCCCAAAGCCTAATGAATTTATTACATATGAAATGAGCTGGATTATTTTATTAAAACACGGCACAAAGATAATTTGGCAGTTCTTGTGTGTAATTGTGTATAGGACAAAAAACCAAGTCATTGTGTTTGCACTTAATGTTGAGTTTTACAGTCCTCTGCTAGGATCACTTCGTACTGAATTCTGCTGCTGATATTCAGGTGCTGGAATGGCTTTACAGCTGGCTGGATTTCTCACTGAGCAGCTGTGCAGCGTTCACAGTGAGTGGGAACCGCTGCTTGGCTGGCCTCCGACTTTTAGGAAAGCATTTTGGTGACTGACTGTCATAATTCATCCTACTGCTACCTTGCAAACTGGCCTTGAGAAGGGATAGTGTTTGGACTCTCTTACAGTTAACAAAATCACCAGGAAAAACATTCCTTTTTAAAGAATGAAACTCAATTTATCGATTAAAAACTTAACGGCAATTCATATTTTTGTGAAGGAAAAACCCCCTCCGTCTGGCCAGCTGAAGTGACAGCCTTGCTGGTGTTCGAGGTCTGGTGCGTTGGAGAGGTGTCGCTGAACGGTGGTGGGTGACCTCCGGTTCTCCACTCAGAGACCCGTCTCCTAGGGAAGCCTCGTACCCTGCCTGTGGGCAGCCTCGCTAAAAACTGCTCAAGATTTCCCCCGTGCTTTGCCGCAGCATCTTTGACTCCATCCCTATGGTCAGGCAGAAGGTTTTTCTGGGAGTTTGGGCTTGTCAGGCTGAGCTGGTCCTGTGACTGACTCGGGTCAGCTGCCGGGATCAGGTGCTTCAAAAGAGGGGGCAAGGAAGGAGCTCACGGGGAATTAATCTGCCACTGTTTGGTGTTACTCTCCTCACTGATACCTTCTGGTCTGGCTAAACTTCACACCACGTGGTTTTGTCTCCCTTCCAGATAGTCGCAATGGTTATACAAGTTCAGCTGTTTTTTTTAACTTCATACAGTGCCTGACCTTGAATTCTGTTATTTACATCGTGTGGCCCTTATATGTTACCAGAAAGGGAGGACAGATGCCTCCCATCATCTTCTTTATGCCTCTAATTATTTTATCGTGTCTTTTCTTCTGCAGTTCCTCCCTAATGTAAACATCTCCATCTTTCCATTCTTGCCTCCTGTGAGAAATTTTCAAGGCCCTAATTATTCTTTCATTTCTGAACTTCTGCCGGATCCTTTTTAAGAAGTGTACTTTTGAAGTTGCCTTTATAGCCTGATCTAAGAGGATGCATACTTGGCTTTCAACAGCCTGATAGTGTGCTTGAGCTTGTTAACTTCAAACGCGGCGCTTTTGGCGTGGCCGTTATCCTGACATCAGAAGTACCTGGCACCAAGGTTTCAAGAACACGGTGCGTTTCAGAAGATGTTAATGGGGCCTGCGTACAAAAGGCCGCATCCTGGACTCTGATCCACCGCCTGCCCGTTGTCCAGCAAAAGGGGCGCGTGGTATGGAGCCAAAGCCTCAGGCGATGATACCTTGACTGCCCTTCTCAGCACCCACTTGGCCTTCTTGCCCGTTTTGGATTTCACTTTACGTTGAGACTTTCTGTTTCCTTCCTGCCCGCTCTGCGCTGTGGTTTTCTACCACATCTGTCGCCTGATGGCTGAGCTCTTTATCCACAGCATTCGGTTGATAGACAGTTGTTTCTTTTCTTATTAAAGCTGTTGTTTTTAACAGATCTGAGCCTCGGCACCCTGGCGTCTGACCATTTGTGCGCTCTGCCTGTAGAGATGCTGGGTTGGACTCATTATCAGTTCACATGGCCTAATGATTTCCTGTCCCTGGGTGTCATGCGGTGACACACCTGTGCTGTATTTCAGGCCTCACCGGAGCTGCTGTAATTTGAGTTGCTTGTTCTTTGGCACATTATGATATTTTCCTCCTGCATACCGTCTTTAGAATTTCAGAAGAATGGATCTCACGCATATTTCCCAACTAGCTCTCTAGATGGGTGGTGCTAATCAATAAGGTGATTGACACAGAAATAAACTTATTTTGCTAAACAAACTCAGTGAGTTCATTCTAATTAAGCAGTAATTTGGAGCAAATGAGAAGATAAAAGGTGGTCACTGCCCTGTGAGCGAAGCGGCTGTGGCATTTGAGTTACGGTACTAGAACTGGCTCTGAGCTGTTGCCTGATTGCTGCTATTTACATTCCTTAATTCTGCTTAGACTTTAACTATTAATGAGACTAAGCAGGGGAAGCAGACGAAGACTTAGGTCGGGTAAGCAGAGGCACTGCTTAGAACTGTGCAGAGGAGGGTACCTGCTGTTTTCTGAAGTTGGTAGGAGGAGGTTGGCTGCTCGCATTGCTTACTTATTTTTGCCTGTGGGCCCCTCTCCCCCCACCTCTGATGGGCTGAGGCCTGTGTTTAGTTGGAAACTGGGCTTTTTTTTTTCTAGTTCAGGACCCGATAACCAGAGTGCAGGTTACTCTCTGTCATCCTGTAGACAGGATGGGGATGCATCCGATTGTGTTCGCTCTCTGTTCCTCAGCTTGTTTGTGTGTCTCTCTCTGCAGTCCATTCCTGCCTTCTGTTAGTTGGCGCTGCATAGCAGGTGCAGCAACGCGCGTTGTCCGGCAGCCCAAGAAGACAACGGATGAACGCTGCAGAAGGGGTAGGAGTTATGTTTGTTACAGCAAGCTCATCACTCGGTGTACATGGAACTGCTGCTGCAGCCTAGTCCTGCCTTGTGCCCCATGCTGCCCTTGCCTGGCTGCTGCACCAGCAGGTGGGTGTCTGTCTGCCGGAAGAAATCGGGTTGGGCCCCAGTCCTGACAAATAGCTGTGGTCACCAGGAACGCCTTGTCTTCGCATCGTGTGAACCTGTGTGACCCAGCTCCTCGCAGGGAGAGCCCGTCCCCTTCGGCTGCTGAGCAGCCTTGTTCCGTTTGGTTCACATCCGCTTTCTTGTCAAAATGACTCAAATTTTGATGCAGCCTACTACTGGTATGGGGCAGAACTTCCCCAGACTCGGTAGCAGGAACTCCTGCCATTGATATTTGATACAGCTACTTGGTCCTCTTCCTCACGTGCAGACCACAAGCTTGTTTTGCCCTGGTCTTTCTGCTTCCTTCTCTCCCTGCCTAATAAAAGTGCTCTGTGCGCTTTCTTGTAGCTGGGCAGTGGTGGGAGAGAAGCAGGTGACAAATGATGACACACACCTAATCTGATCTGGTTTCATCCTTTTGCCTTTCTCCAAGGCCATCTGCATGTCTTCAAGAAGAGAGTAGAGGTTTTCCTGCTGTTTTTTTTCCTATAAATCTGTAGCTGAAAAGAGGGAGCTGGAAGCTCAGTACCTTTGGCTGGTGTTTTTGAGCCTCTCCTGGCAGAGCAACTCAATCATGTTGTTGGTAAGTGCCCTTAAATGAGTTTGCTTCTGCCCTTCTGAGCTTTCAGCTTGTAGGTGACTGCTTTTAACCTGAAGTGGAAGTGACGTGAAGGGTGCTCTCAGTCGGCTGAGAAGTCCAGGTAACAAGGCTAATATTCCTGGGGACTGGTATTACGGTTATGAGCACCATGTGAGCTCCCTGCGGTAAAGCACAGGAACGTTAGCTGGGGTCCAGGCTTTGTCCCTGCGGGAGCCGCTGGAGGAAGGGAGGTGGCCATCCCCACCCCAGCAACAACTGTGGCTGCATTTTCCGTAGTCCTGAGTGAGTAGTGTGAACTCCATCCAAAGGCTTTACATAAACCATGCACCTTTGAAATGCTATAAAGAATCTAGGAGTAGAGGTTGGGGGAAAAAAAAAAAAAAAGAGATCTACACCAACTAATATCAATTCTTTATTTTCTTTCCCTCTTTTTTTTTTTGCGGGGGGGGGTTGTTACTGGGGATTCTAAACAGCCTCAGTTAAAGATGCCTTAGTTTTCCTTTTGTGACGCTGATTTAGGATACCTGTGGAGACAGGACGTGGTTAGCGCAGGAGTGTGTGGTTCACCCCAGATTAGCCTTCATTCCGAGATACAGGTAATGACTCGTTAACGAACCCCACACATATTCTGTCCACATTTCTGAATATTGGTTGCTATTTAAAAAAGTACAACGTTTGATTTGTTGATTTAATCACAAAACAAAACACATGAATGGAAACACTCATTTACATGACTATTGCTTATACAGCTAAGATGACGAGTTGACTACAAATGGCCACACGTAGTTCCTTAATGAGAGAGAGTGTGTTCTTACTAAGACCGTACCAAGGCAAAAAAAACCATTCAAGACTGAAATATGCTGTGCTTGAATTCACCTTTAGGTTATTGAAAATGATGGGGGGGGAGGGGCGCGGGGTATTTAAGGGGCATAATTAAATGAAATCTGGCTTCTTGCCTCTGTTACAATACACGCAGTTTATAAATGGAGGAGTCCTGAGGTTGAACACAGCTCTTATGTAAGCTGCAATGTTTTCTTCAAAAATGGGTTTGTATGCATATCTTCATCACAATGCACACATTGTGGCGTGAAAGGGCTTCTGTAAAAGGAATATGTAAACTGTTTTAGAGAATTTCTGTATGTGATAATTTTATACAATACGTGTAGTAAATAGAATGTTTCTGTTAAATGTTTGTGAAAGAAGCTATATTCTGGTAATAAGGGAATGTCTAATTACTGTCAAAAGAGTTGAACTGTAGAACTGTAAAAAAAAAAATTTAGAAACCCGGTAATTATACAAAACAAAATCTGATTCTCAAGTTTTCCTTTATCTTGTCTTTTAATTCAAGATTTGAAGCTTAAGTTAAAACTCTAGGAGTGGCTTTTATTTTTTTTTTTTTTTTTTTAAATAAAATAGCTTGTACTTCATTGAATTTTTGCCAACTCTGAAAACATATAAATAATCTAATTTGATGTATTTTCTCTGCATATTCTGTCTATCTACAGCTCTAGGCATAAGATCAAACACACCTGGTCAAACCCCGAGGGGGAGGTGTGTGCTGTTGGAAGTTCTGCGTGTCTGGTTTTGGATGTGTTGTGATAGAGGGCTCCTGTAAAGATGAATGTGAGGGAGCAGGGTATCCGAATGAACAAAAAGGACTTTAAATTGAATAATTATTTCCAGCCAATCTGGTCTATTGTAACTGAGGATTGCGATGTTGAAGATACCTCTTAAGTTTAGGATTTTGCTTGAGGTGGTGCTGTCTTAGTGGGAAAGGTGAAAGCACAGGATTTCAACATCCAGCGACAGCTAGTGCCCTCAATTTTCTTACAGCCAGTCAGGTCAGATGCTGTGCTCATTGCTCAGAATGCTGCATCTTTATTCCTTTTGCTAACAACCTTTCGTAGGGTTCAGGTCAGGCCTTTCAAAAATCCCACACTCCCCCTCATTTCACAATAAATCAACCAGGCAAGAGTTTTTTCCTCCCTCACTGAAGTTTTTAAGTGAAGGTTTTTTTCCACATACATGGTAAATCTTGATAGAAAGCATTTAACAGTGTGCACTAACAAACTTATACAACATATACATTACATATATATATTTATATATATAGAATGTTCTATATACAAACATATACAACTTTTTAGATCTCTACAGACTACAAGAAAACTGATAATTATAGTCACAAGTGGTGAACTTAACAGAAGTAGTAACTTATACGTAAGAGTGGAAAGCAAGATACAGCTGTGACCTGATGGGGAGTACTAGAGAAAAGTTGCTTAGAAGTTTAAGTATTAAAAATTGTAAGTTTGAGGGATGCTAGATTCTCATTTCTCTATTGCATAAAAATGCAAACGGAAATCTAGTGGCAGGTTTTTTTTTTTTCCCCCTGGTGTTAAGCTAGAGAGTGTTGGCAGCCAAAGTCAGTCAGGCATTGTGTAAAAGACTTGTTGAAGACACTTTTCTCTCTGGGCATGCTATAGTGATTAGCAGTTAAAAGTTGCTGTTAAACTTTTACATTTGATTCTCAAAGGAGCGAGCAGGCCACTCCAGCCCCAGCCTGAAGACACTTCCACCGAAATCAAGGTAAGGGCGACCTTTGCAATATTAGCCACCCACGTGAGCCACGGCAGAAAACTTCGGCAGAACTGGTAGCTTCCTTGTCACCAAAGTGAACCAACTGCTGCCCGAGCACCACGCGCTACCGCTCACCCGGGCTGCGTTCTTAAAGGCTGGCTGCATTACACCAGTTCCTAGTGGAAACCGGCCCCGTAGCCTGTGGGTGTGCAAGTGCCCCACTGGAAGCGGTAACGGCCTTTCCGCCTGCGCCGGCTCAGTTGCAGAAGCAAGCGTAGAGCTGGGTACAGAACAAACGCTGGTGGGGCAGCCTCGGCTTGGTATTAATGAAGACTGCTTAGCTTCTCTGTAAAAGCAGAGAAGGCAGGAAGAACGAGGGCTAGAAAGTTGATTGGAGGGTTTGACTGATCTGCTGCCCCAAATGATTTTGTTGCCCAGAGACTAGTGGATTTGGAGTATAGACCAGAGCACAGGCAGAGTGACTATACGTTTAAACGTAGAGGATAGGATTGCTATAATGTTGTTCTCATTTATTTCTCATTCTAGATGCCTGGTTACAGTGATGCTTCCTCACACACGCAAGTGGCCATCAGAGTGGTGAGTTTGCTGTTTCCTCAGACACACAGACAGACATCCACTCAGGTCACAGACAACTCCAATTCCTTAACTCTCAGCACAAAACTAGGCATTGCTTGGGCTTTGACCTTTCTCCTAGTAACCTTCTACAGTTCCCACCATTATAGTGCAGTTTCTCCTGTGACGGAGAGGAACTTGTCTCATTCCCAGCTGAGCTAGACCCGTCAGGGTGTCGTTTTGATTTTGCCCACAGAGAAATGTAAAAATCCCGTAAAGCACAAAATTCCTGTTGTGTTACAATGAGAATTTAACACCTCAAATCTGTTCCAACCCTTTAACTTGTGCAGCTGGGATGACGGTGAAGCCAGACTTCTGGACTGTACAATTTCCTGGGCTCCATTTTATTGTAAGAAAATGAAGGATATGGGAAAGGCATCTTTGAGAGAGATCATCTGAACACTGGGATGATATAAACGCCCGTGAAGTTAAGATCTAGTTAGGAGGGGGACGCTGCCTGTCTGAGTCAGTGTCCGTCAGGACTCCTTGAAGGGACAGAGGATGTCACTCTTCACATATAGAAAACTTTTAAATACTGCTTTTCCACCTTTTCCTTTTCTAATTTGAAACTATGCCCAGGCACAAGCCTTCAGTGCCTTGTTTCCAAGCCAATCTTGGAAAAATTTCTAACTTAACAGATGACCTGTGTGGCAGTGAGGCTCTTGTAGGCTACTGTTACTGCAGCACACTCACGGACTAAGAATCTATTCACGTTGACAGGTAATGGGTTCTATTTGCTGTTCTCTTCTGTAGCTGCAGGTTGGAGAGTTTTCTGCAGAGTTTACCGTAGAAACCAAACAAGCCGCTTTGAAGCAGAAGCAAACTACTTTTAGCAGTGTGAGCAGAAAATCAATTGCCACGGACCCAGGGTGTCATTTTATATATGTGCCAATTCAGTGCCGTATGTTGACAATTGTTTTTCATGCTCCTCCCCTGGCCCATCGTTTAGTCTTGCTGCTGTGATCTCTCTCCCCCAGCTTTAGGGGGGCTACGGTGCAGTTTTCTTAGCACAATTTCAACCGACCAGTTAAGAAGAATCGCTGCTCTGCAAGCTGCTAAGCAGCTTCTGTGAGCAGAACTTGACAGGACTGTCCAACTTGTAGCCCTGCGGTTTCCCATCTTGCCTCTCCTAACTTAAAGAAGCGATTTCCTAAGCTGGTTTTCTATTCCTGCTACTGAGAAATAAGGCAACCAAGTGATACAGACACCACGGGGATGGAAAATGCCACAGCCCCCTTCAAGGACAACTGCGATGAATCTAGAGCACATTTTAAAAAGTACAGATAAGGATGACATGTCATGTGCTCTGAATTGCAAATAAACCATCTATGCTCGTGTTTTACTGACATTTCAGATAGTGCCTGTCTAGCTACTTGAAAAATCCGTAAATTTGGGGCATAGGGTTTTGAAGTTATTTATTCTTCTGGTAGGAGTTAAACAGCACTGATTTCAAGCAAGGTTTTTCAAGGGAAATAAATAGGAGGTAAGAAAATGCACCTCAACTCATTTTTATGTTGAGAATGGTAGCAAACATGCTTGAAATGTACTGGCTTTTTGTAATGTCACTTTTAAAAAATAAATGGCAAAAACCTTTAAGTATTTTTTTTTTTTCTCAGAATAGAAATAAATCCCATTTTTCTTCGGTCACAACATGCTTTCTTTTTCTTTCTTTTTTTTTTTTTTTTTTAAGATGTCAATTAGTCATGCAAAGTTCTATAAGTGCATTAACATTCGAGTTTGTACAGAATATTTTTAACCAGATGCACTCCCCACAGTTCATACCTACAGCTTCTGAAAAACTACATGCCACAGTGATGGTTGAGTTCCTTTTGGAAAAAGATTCGCTACCGCATGAGCCAGCTGTTGGAGTAAGACCCACATGATTCTAGCTTCCGTCTCACGGTCTGTAAAATTTCTCCTTGCCTCCCACTGTGATGAATCCAATAATAGTAACAGGAAAACATCTTCTAGGAGAAAAAAAAGCGTCTCTGGCCAGTGACTGGTAGATTTGGGAATGAATGTTGCTTCCCTGAACAGTGTTCTTAATAAAGCCACAAGCAGCAGCTTTGAAAGTCTAAAACTGGTACCACTTTTTGTCCTTGTATTTCAGCATCACCTACACAGAAAAGGGAAACAAACAGATATAAACCGCTGCTCTGCATATGAGGTATCATCACACATGACCTAGGCCCATTAACTGTCACCAACTTGTAAGTAAAAAAGGAAGAGCAATGCAGTACTTCAAGTGTCATCAGGTCTTCAGTCCCCTGAGACCTTGTATTTAATTTTGTAATTGTTACATTTTAAAAAAAAAAAGTTACCTGCTGTTCATGAAAAGATTTTTCCTGAGGAGCTTTAACTACCTTTTTCTGCAAAAAGTACAGAGGTATGGGAATAACCAGGAACTTGCTTTTTACTCCTATAGAAAGAAGCTTATCTATGGAGCATAGTAGATATGCCCTGAATATATAAACTTTCTGCATTTCAGGGCACGTTCTTTCTGTGTATTTTTGCCTCAGACTTACAAAAGCCAAAAAAAAATGTAAAGGTCTTGTCCAGAGACGTGATGCATGTTAAACAAAATACGTGCATTTTAGGAAGTATTCTTTAATGTTGCTTTATCTTCAAGGAAAATCACTTTAGTTGATTCCCAGCCTTAACAGCGTGGGATGGAAGAACTTTCCATTTCCAGCTCTAAGCTGGAAGCTGTCTATTCCAGGCAAGCCCTATTCTATGTTACTGTACCACAGTCCTGTACTAGAAATGTTCTCCTCTTCTTCCCAATAAGATCTGTAAAGGTTCCTATATACACATCCACCGACCTGTTTTCTGCCCTACTGCATAGACATGCTGCACTAAGTGGCTTCAAAAAAAAAGTCATAATGAATTAGTGAGAAAGGCAAGAGATGAGAAGTGCCACGTTCTAAATTCAGAGGCTAACAATGGATGCTCATTTATGAAAACATGAAAGAAAGGGGCGTGCAATGGAAGTTTATTTTCGGCATTCTCATTGTCTGGGAGCAGGAAAAATGGTGTGTCAGTTAACGAGAGTACACCTAAAACACCATGACGGGGTGAATGGGGAGAACCGTACTTGACTTTCCCAAAGGAAAGCAAAGGCTCAGTTGGAGGGTTGGCGGTTCCTAGTTCTGGGTGTGTGGTGCCAGGGCCCCTACCTCGTGTGCATGTTTGGAAAATGCCTCTGCGCTGGCCATCATGCTCGCAGTCCTTTCATCCAGCTCTCCCAGTTTCTGTCCTCTCTCATCAAGGGCAATGCGTGCACGAGTCAAGTCCCCAATGACGCCTCCTGCAGCTCCTCTCACGCCTTCAATTCCACCTGATCCAGGGATGTGCTGGGCAAGACTGCGAGAGGCTTTTCCTGCCGTGGCCTCACCAACTGCAAAGGAGAAACAGACAAACGGACAGGAATGAGTTCCTGGCTGTGGCTCTGTCAGTGCTTCTCATCCTCCAGCTGCAGCCTTGCAGTGGTGATGCCATTTGATGTGCAGATGGCACGTGTGGAAGACTTTGCTCTGTGCACTGGCACATCTACAGTGCAGTCGTGCCCCTTCTCCCCGCCCCCCCCAATCACTCAAAAGAATCTGCCAAGCTGAAGGAATTGTGGGAAGGCAATCATGGGAAGGCAACTGAGGACCCTCCCCTTTCTTCACAACATCATCTTTATTTTTTCGTCAATGATCTAAAGCTTGTGTACCACTCCATTTCTAGATGACAAGGGCAGGCGATCCCGTGAATTAATTTCTGGGGAAAAAACCCCCAACCCAACCCAAAATACCCAACACGAAAAATCCCAAGAAATTACTTACAAAGCTCCTCTCTGTCAAAAGCTTGTCCACTTCCTCCAAAAAGTCCTTTGAGAAAGCCTCTGTTTTGGGCTTCTGGTGTTTCCACAGGAGTAAACAAATCCCCAAGCATGTCCTAGCAAAGTCAGACAAAAGTCCATGTGAAAAATTAGTGAGGTGAAAGCTGTTCTAGGTGTTATCTTTATTTGCATTAATGAGCCACATGCATTGGATCTAATCAACTAGTTTTAAGAGTCTGTTGTGTGAACAGTATTGAGGTGTGTGAACAGTATTGAGTACTTAACATCTGTGTTTCATGACAGGCAAATACTTGGGCTAACTAGATGCACGCATGCTTTCAAAGGGACTTGGTTTGTTACTGCCCAGTCTTACGTTCATTACCACAAAGAAAAAAAATGTATAAGCAATACAGAGTGAAAATACCAATCATAAGATCACATTTTGCTTAGAAACAGCAAAGGCAACACTCTAATTGAATAAACAATTTGTTGTGAATTATGTGTTTTGCTTCAGTGATTATCCAGGCAAGCAGGGCAGTCACTCTCTGTTTTCTCTTTATAGCGTGCCTGAGTTCAGTGCTTGCTAGCCGTTCAGAGAGTTTGGTGGTTGTTTGGTTGGTTTTTTGTGGGTTTGTTTTTTTTTTTTCCCCAAACAAAATCCTGTCACCTTCCATACAACCTGACACTCCTCCCCCCCCAGTTACTGTGCATGTTGGCAGTGCCATCAGTAATGCTACATAAGCACGTCTGCTGAAGGCACTGTCATGGTGCTACATCTTGGAGCAGCTGACCCAAACAAATCTCAGGCTCAGATTTATTTGCAGCAGTACTAGGAAAAGTGGGCTCTCCAGAATAAAACTGATAAAGAAGGCGTGCAGTTCCATCAGTGTTTGAAACCAGTGAGGCTGTGTGCGCGGAAAACGGTTGCTGCCCTGTTGCTCAGCTCTGTGTTTGCTCATCCAAGCCTCAACAGCAGATACAGCTGTTGTGCTGCACAAAGCACTCGGCTTCTGGGAGGCTGCGTGCTAGGACAGCGCTGTGACTCACACTTACTGCTCCTCTGCCCAGTCACCTGCACTGAGGAGAAAAACTACTGCCGCCCTTCGAGCCTAAGTGGAGGCTCTCACACAGCCTGGCTTTGGTTTCCTGGGTAGCAGGTGATACTGGGTCATCTGCTTTTTGTACACATATAATGACTGTGCAAACCTTTTACTGTCGTCTTTGCATCAAAGCCGAGATATGAACAGCCACAGTCCAGCAGTACAGAGAAGCGAGGGCTGTGTTTCCCTTTGATTGGTTGTTGTATGATGCTATTAAGGTTAACGAAAAAAATCTAGCTTGTAAGAGCTCTCACTACAGGTCCATATTCTAAGATGCACTGATCAAACCTTCTGATCATTTAAAAATTGGTTGCCTGCAAAATAATCTCTTCTCCGATGCGCAAAAGCTTGTGTGCAATGCTCACTCCTCACAGTGCTTTTTCAGACTTGAGACAGACAGTGCTATGACACGAGTTGAGCAGCTCAGCACGTTATTCCCTAGGGCATAATGAGTGCTGGCAGGACCATTCCTTTTATACTTCTACCCTAGTTCACTGCTAATTATGTAACCTAGGACTTATTCCCCCTTTTTTTTCCCCTTTTATTTCTCATGTTTCTCCCTGTAACCTCTCACAATTCCTCCTCTTCAGTAAATGACATTTTAATTTGCATTTTCGTGGTAAAAAAAAAAAACAACCCCAAAACCCAACCCAAATCTAACATTGTAAAGACCTTTTGCTCAAAATAAATTATTTTAATTAGACCATTTCTATAGCTACTGTATTTTAGTGTACAATGGGAGATGCTTTCCTCATGTGGAAGAAGGGGGCTACCAATTATTGGAGTAAAACCAGTGGTAAATAATTAAAAAAGATATTTAAAACAGAGCATATTTTTTGATACTAACCACACTGGTTTGTCTCATGCTCCCACCTATCTACTGAAAACTGCAGGTATTAAGGTATTTTTAGAGTTAAAATAAAAAAATGATAAAAATATGGGCAGGAATTAATATTTTCACTGAGGCAGTTGCTGTGTGGTTGGACACGTGCCGGTACCAACTGCTGTAGCTGCTATTCATTTGTAGCTTCCCCTTCTTTCCCTTCAGCCATTTTTAACAGCTGGTCTTTCGTACAGTAGGACTGCGAGAGAAGCAGGCTGTGAAGAGTCCCATTTGGGCACAAATCTGCCTCTGTATGGAGCCAGCAGAGATTGCAATTACGTGCGGGCAGGCTGCAGGCTCGGGCCAGCCGTTGGGGCACAGGAGGAAGGTGACAGTGTCATGAAGAAGTCCAAACAGCGACAGAGCTGCTGACCTCTCTCTGCTGCGTTGGCGTCATTCAGCCAGGGCAAGTGGAGAGGAACACGTCTGTCCCGCTCCCGCAGCGCAGCCTTCACTTTGGATGCTAAAAAACTAGCAGTAAACACGTGGCAATTTACACCTGACGAGTCGGGCCGCTGGCGCTCCCACACAAGCACAAAGGCGCCGAAGTACGGGTTTGAGCCCTACCTGCAGATTGTCACACATCTCCTGGCTGTACGTCAGGCGCTGGATCTCTGTGGGAGAGCTGAGATACAAAGCTTGCCCTTCGTTAGTGAAACAAAAGGTCCGCGCTATCCTCATGTCTGTTACGGGCAAATAGTTGATGTCCAGCAGTGGGCGAAGGCTGGGCAAGCTGAAGAGAAGCAGATACCTAGGTTAGTCACCAGTGCCACACATGGTACACCTGCTCTATGCCTGCATTTTAAACCAACGTTTAAGTTTACGCTTTTCATAACTGAATAGTTAAAGTGCAGCTCTAAGCTGAAAAATTCTGCCATAAACACACTGCCTTCCCGTCATACTTTGTTTCCCTGCACGGAGAAGTTTCAGCTGCCTTGCCGCAATGACCCTTAGGCTTCTGCTACTGTCTGGATTTGGGACGGGCGTGTGACACAGTACGGCTTGTGTCACGTGGCTGGGCAGTTTGCAGGGTAAGGCCTGCCCCCAGTTATCGCATGGGCAGCTGCAAGAAATGGCGTGGCAGGGCCCTGCTTGCACCCCACGGACAAAGGCTCCAGCATCGCCTTTGCTGTCCTCCAGCTTCTCCCGGTTCACCGTTTTGGACAGCAGTTTCCAAAATCTAAATGGCCTGGCTGGGGAAAAGGGGCTGCGGCAAGGCGAGGGCACGACCACAGGGCTACTGCACAGTCGGCTCAATGGTGGGGATGACAAGGAAGGCAAACCAGGTGCTCTGAGCGGAAAGATCTTCCCAAACGGCAAGAGTGGGACTTGCTACTTCACACTGGATAAACAGTACCCTTTCTATGCCCGACTTTTTCTATACTCCTCTATACCCGATTTACCATAACCGAGCAAAATTATCAGGGTTTTCTTTTATGATAGTTAAAAATCAAGAGCCATCAATTGTCACGGGTAGGGTATTACTATGAAATATAAAGGAGTTTGCTTTGCTGCGCGGCTGTTTTAACTCCCCATGCGGAGACAGGCCAAGGAACAGGTATGGCAGCGGGCAAGGCAGGGCATTAAATGCACCCGCCAGGGAGTTAATGCAGAGCATCAGACACTCCAGAGCAAACACAAGTGGAACGTGACAGCACCGTGCCGCCTCTTTGCTTAGTTCTGCTACAAGATTAGTTAGATAAGTACCTCAGTGTCATGATGTGCCCATTGGCACAAAAGCACGCCAGACAGACGCTGTTACAGAGGGTGACCACATCTGCTCGCAATAAAAAGGACGTTTCAGTGATGTTGTGGACATAAAGACATGTTTGGGAAGGCAATGAGAAGACTTTGGCTTGTTTTTCTGAACAAATGACTGCAAATTGATGATCACCCATATCCTGGGAGGAGGAAGGGGAATGCATGACAAGTTTCCTTTTTCTTGTTTTTTCACCGTCGTCAGCACTGTGTGGGTCCCTCCATACTTCATACGGTGGATGTGTCAACGTCCCCATGCAGTCCAAGCACGCGAAGGTCAGCACGGCTCCTTTCAGTGTCAGAACTGTGCCTGCAAAATATAGTTTCCTCTCACTGGTACTGGCACCACAATTAAGCTGCTTGTCAGTACTGTGAACGCGTGCAGCATAGCTGACATTCAGCTTTTGTAATTAGAGCAAACAGGTTAATCTAGCCAAGGTGACAAGTCTTCCTTGCTCAGTTCTTCCTGACCACACAAGAAAGTGAACAAACAGGCTGCCAGTACTGGAAAGGTCTCAGGAAGCCTATATCAAATATAATACAAGCTATTGAATACCATAAAGATAGGCTGTTGTTTATCTCCACATTATACTAGTAGGGTATTTATTCCCCAGCAGTAAAATTGCTCTCCTTAGTCTGGTGACCTTCCAGCATTGTTTTTCTAAACAAACCGGGGGTGGGAAACCTCTATTCCTGTGCATCCTCTGATTTTTGTCATTATCTTACTTTAAAACATACTAAGCACATACTGCCTCTCCTCAGACCTGACCTCTCTCAGCCCTCCGTTCTCTCTGCTACACCATCTGTCACTCACTCAGCCAAGGATCTCTCCTGGTACATTGACCTGCCAACATTTTTGTTTCCTTTCCTGAACTCCCTTCTGCTTCTCTGCAGCTTTCTGAGAGAAGACAGCCAAACTGTTCACAGCATCCCAGATAGGACTGCATCAGAGCTGTACACAGGACTGTAATTTCACAATATGAAGGAACTCTGCTAATTTCCCTTTCCTCACAGGAAACATGTAACTTTGCCCATGAGACAAGGTAATCTTTGGAAATAACACAACCAAAGTCACTCAGCTCATGAAGCTGCGGGTGTCTCACGAGCATCTTTCTTTATCTGTGTGCCCTCTATGTAGTGAGTGACCATTGCTTGATACATGTATTGAGAAATTTCTGCCCAAAAGGCCATACAAAATCATGCAGTTATTCCCCCTGTTGTACCAAGACATAATAAACAGGAAAGGAGCTGCACTCTTACCACTTGGCGACACCATGACCGGCTCTGACTGCCGCAAATCGTCACTAGCAGGCAGATTAAGGGAGAGGATTAAGACCATACCGAGGCCCGTTCCAACCCAGAGACAGGGCGAGACAGCAGAGTCATTCTTTCGGGCAAAGGACTCCATGAAGTACAAAGCCGTAATTGCCTCCTTTGAGTCCCTGTCAATGCTGGACACGCTGGAGCTTCGGGAACGGCTGAAGGAGTTTTCCCTATTTTCTGCGTAAATAAATACAAGCAAACAGGCACAAGTTGGCAATCCTAGAACAGGCACAAGCCTGCAGCAAATACAAACTCCCTGTAGAGCACAGAAAATACAGAGTTTTCTTAACATGAGCAAACACTCTGACACTAGCACGATACCAGCTTGCTGCCAGTGTATAAATAAGTGTGGAAAATGCTGTCAGACCTCATCAGTTAAATCTGCATTAGAAATAGCTGCTTATTATGGAGATTAGCATAGACTAATTAGAATTTACAACAGCTTTAGCTCAAAGGACTTGTTCTAAATAGCATGAAATAATTTTAGACCCATATGTTACCAATGCATTTAAAATTAATCCATGTATCTCATTGCTGCAGGACATGAAGGGAGACGCCACTACCAACTTCAGAGCATGTGTCCTTTGCTCTGCTCTTGTTTCCATCGCTAGGATGTTCTAGCACTGCGTTCACAGCCATCGTTGCTGTGAACATCACTGCTCTCTGGGGAAAAGACACCCATTGCTAGACTGATCCCAGCATCCAAAACATCTCAGGGTACAAGTCAACTCTGGCTTCCCAGGGAGTGAAGTGAGAAACCTGCTCTGCGCCCTTGGCAACAAGCGCATAGTGAGCCAGCACTGCTCATCTTTCCACCTAAACTTTAGCAGGCAACAGCAAGAGCCAGCTGGAGACAGAGCTGTATCATCCTCACTGCAAATACACAGGCACGGAGACACTCTCTGAGCTTTTCAGAGAGAAATAACAATGAACAGGGTCTGACTGCTGTAGGGCTAAAGATCTCTGCTTTGCTTTGCCTAGTGCCAGGCAGGAAGCACAAAACTGAGCAAGACAGCTCCTGGCATCAG